TATTTTCCCTTTCCCTTCCACTTCCCTTCTCCCTTCTCCCTTCCCCCTCCCCTTCCTCTCTCCTTCTCCCTCCCTTCCCCCTTCCTCCCACACCATCATCGTGTTCCCTCTCGATCGTCTCCTAACAGTTACGATGACTTTAAAGAGGACAGGCCTTAAATTATCGCCAGTCCAATATACGAGGTCAAGTGATAAGTAGTGGATACTGGAGAGGTCAAAGGTCACCCCCTTACATGTTGGGTCATTAAGTAATATGTAGTTGTTGTTGTTTTTTTCATCTGATTTCTCTCTCTCTCTCTCTCTCTCTCTCTCTCTCTCTCTCTCTCTCTCTCTCTCTCTCTCTCTCTCTAATGATTATCTCCCCTCACACGACCTTACGAACGACTCCTAGTTCGACTTCTCTCTCACAGGAACACTGTTACGACTTTCCCCTTACAAGACCTCTATTACGACCACTAACACAACCATTTTTACGAATTCCCCCCTCACATGACCTTTTAAATGACCCTTGGCACGACTTTCCCTTCATACGACCTCTCACATAACCCCTGGTACGACTTTCCCCTCATATAACACCCCAATAGACCCCTCACACGACCCCTCAAAGGGAAGAGTACAACGGTGACACTCCCCTCGCTAATAAGGGGAATATTTAGTCCAAAAGTGGGTAAGTTGTCTACCCTCCCCCTTTCCCCTCGGATTTCCCCTTCTTTGTCCCTTTGCTATTATCCCTCTTCTTCACTTTCTTTTTCTCCTTCTATTTTTCTCTTGTTTTTTTTATTCGTATGGCTTTATCACCTTCACTCCTTTGTGCACATGTAAGGAAGGAAGGAAGGAAGGAAGGGAGGGAGGAAGGAAGGAAGGAAGGAAGGAGGGAAGGAAGGAAGGAAGGAAGGAAGGAAGGAAGGAAGGAAGGAAGGAAGGAAGGAAGGAAGGAAGGAAGGAAGGAAGGAAGGAAGGCATAGATAGATAGATATACAAACAGAGAGAGAGAGAGAGAGAGGAAGTTGTATGCGTCTGTGCGTGTGTTATGTCTCTTCATCCTCACCGTTTCATCTATTTTTATCTCTCTCCTTATCGCCCCTCCTTCCCTTCTATTTTCGTCTCCCTCTTCTCAAACTTTATTCTCGTCTGTGTTTCGGGAACCCTAACATCATCATCCTTCCTTTACCTGACTGATGGATGTTGTGATTAAACCCATGAGGATGTTTTTTTTATTTTTTTTTATTATTTGTTAACGGAAATTTAAATTAAAAAGGAACTTTAATCTGATTTCATCGTTAAGGTAAAAAAAAATAATTAAGATGCTATAAAATTTGGTTGTCACGGCCGTGCACTACCACCACCACCACCACCACTACTACTACTACTACTACTACTACTACTACTACTACCACAACAGCAATAACATTAACATCCACCACCACAACCTCTACCACTAGTACCACAACCTTCTACCACTACCACCACAACGTCTAACACTACCACCACAACTTCTTCAACCACCACCACAACAACAACAGCAGCAGCTATAACACCATCACCACAACAGCAGCTACACTACCACCACCACCACAACAACAGCAGCAGCTATAACACCACCACCATCACCACAACAGCAGCTACACTACCCACCCACCACCACAACAACAGCAACTACACCACCACCACCACCACCCACCACCACAACAACAGCAGCTACACTACCACCACCACAACAACAGCAGCTCACACCACCACCACCACCACCAACAACAACAGCAGCTACACCACCACCACCACAACAACAGCAGCTACACTACCACCACCACTGCCACCGTCCATCGTCATTACAGCCACGACTGGACCAACATCACCACATTAATGAGTTGAAGTGGAGCGAGAGTCTGTGTTCTGACCCTGTTTACTATACCAGGGGGCGCCACCTACTGCCAGGGGGCGCCACTTATTGTCAGGGGGAGGGGGCATCAGCTATTGTCAGGGGGAGGAGGCACCAGCTATTGTCAGGGGAGGAGGCACCAGATATTGTCAGGGGAGGGGGTAGCAGCTTGTGTCAGGGGAAGGGGTACGAGCTATTGTCAGGAGGAGGCACCAGTTATTGTCAGGAGGGGGTATCTGTGTCAGGGAGAGGGGTAGCTTTGTCAGGGGAGAAGCATCTATTGTCAGGGGAGGGGGGTAGCGTCTATTGTCAGGGGAGGGGTAGCAGCTTTGTCAGGGAGGGCAGGGTAGCAGCTTTGTCAGGGGGAGGGGGCAGCTATTGTGAGGGGGGCACAACCTAACCGATAGACAGTGTTGAGATAAAACCCCGGAAGTATTTCCTTCCAGCAAATGTGACCTCCTTACCCTTACATCTGATCACCTGTGCAGTTTAAGGTCATATAGGTTAACGTTGAGTCAGCGAGGGTCAAGCAAGGTCAAGTAGTACAATTAAATAGGTGATTAAGAAGGTTAAGTAGCATTAGATAGGGGTCGGGGGTTAAATTGATTTTGGCAGGGTAAGGTAGGGTCAGGTAGGGTCAGGAAAGGTCACGCAGGGTTAGGCAGGTTTGATAGGATTGCTAGCAGTTCATAATACACAATTTAAGATTCATATTGCCTTTTTTTTTTTTTGCTTTGATGCACAAATTATTGGAAATTTCTGAAGAATGGAGATATTAGTAGTAGTAGCAGTAGTTTTAGTAGTAGTAGTAGAGAAGGTGGTACGGTTGGCCAGTAGGTGGTTTGCCCTCCCAATGCGTGTGTGGCTCATCCTATAACATTGACCTCGCCATGGTGTGTAAGAAAGGGGGCTTCGTATGCATGAGGCATGACGAAGTAAGGGATCTCACGGCAAATTTTCTGAAGGAAATCTGGCACGACGTCATGGTAGAGCCGCCCCTCCTTCAATTGGACGGTGAGAACCTCCATCACAGGACTTCCAATACATCTAACGAAGCCCGTGTGGACGTCAGCGCTCGAGGATTCTGGACGCGGGGACAGCGAGCTTTCTATGATGTTAGGATATTCGACCCCATGGCCGCATGTCACCGTAACTTGAGGAACGAGAACGACAAGATTACTAGGGCATAGACCACAGGGCAGCTTTACTCCTCTGATGGTGTTCACAATCTCTGGCGGGATGGGACCAAGTGCAAGATGTTATCTACGCCAGACTCGCTGAGGTGTTATCTGAACGGAAGCAGCAGCTCAGAAGTTACGCTACAGCCTGGTTGAAATGTCGATTGTCCTTCTCTCTCCTTAGGTCTGTATTGCTTTGCCTCAGGGGAACGAGGTCGTCTGCCCCAAAGTCAACAACAGTTGCAAATAATGACTATGAGGCAACAGTCACTGAATGCCGCATAGATCTGCGGCTCAACTAACTCAACACAGCTAGGATGGCTACTTATGTATTATGATAGTTAATTTCAAGGCAATAAAATGACGGCGAAGGTGTGGCTATTGGGGGAGGCTGGAGGCCACGTAAAAAAATAGTAGTAGTAGGACGTGTATGAGCAGACAGACAGACAGACAGACAGACAGACGCTCGGAAATAATACCCTTGGTTAAGTCGGTCCTTCATAATGTTTCATCTTTACCAAATTTTTTCGCTCATGAGTTTATCCGCTTTTTTACCACTCCCGTATCCGGACTCAGGGGAAGACCCGCCTCGTGTAAACAGAGAAACAGAAACTAAAATAAATTAAAAAAAAAAGTGAATGAAGATTAAAATTTGTATAATATTTAATTCATTATATCCTTGTAGTTATTTATTCATTTAAATTATTTATAAACTTATTCATTAACTCAGTTCTTTCACTGGCTGTATATACGTTTGTCTGTCTATTCATTCATCCATTCATTTAATCTCTCTATTGCTCTTTCTCTTTAACAAGGTCTCTCTCTATCTCTCTTATTAACAATCTCTATATCTCTCTTTAACAAGCACGCTTTCTCTATCTTTAACTCTCTATCTCTCTTTAACAAGCTCTCTCTCTCTCTTTCTCTCTCTCTCTATCTATCTCTTTAACAGTCACTCTCTGTCTCTGTAACACTCTCTCTATTTATCTTTGACAAGTTCTCTCTCTCCTTAACACGTTCTCTCTCTCCTTGATAAGTTCTCTCTCTCCTTGACACGTTCTCTCTCTCCTTGACAAGTTCTCTCTCTCCTTAACATATTTTCTCTCTCCTTGACAAGTTATCTCTCTCCTTGACAAGTTCTCTCTCTCCTTGACAAGTTCTCTCTCTCCTTAACATATTTTCTCTCTCCTTGACAAGTTCTCTCTCTCCTTAACACGTTCTCTCTCTCCTTGACAAGTTCTCTCTCTCCTTGACACGTTCTCTCTCTCCTTGACTAGTTCCCTTCTCTCTCCTTGACAGGTTCTCTCTCTCTCTCTCTCTCTCTCTCTCTCTCTCTCTCTCTCTCTCTCTCTCTCTCTCTCTCTCTCTCTCTCTCTCTCTCTCCAAGCACCATAAAACGCCGGCCAAGCTATCAACCTCCAGTACCGTACTCACTCCACCTACCTCCTTGTTGACACACTCCCCTGAGGCCCCGGTTCCTTCCCGTGTGTGCCTGGGACCTTGGCAGACGCTCTTCCTGATTAAACCAAACACGGAAGGCGAAGTATATGATCGTATACTCGTGGGGAGGGACGGGGGTATATACTTGTCGGTGGTATATATGATACACATGTGGGAGGTAATAATAATACACACACACAATAATAATAATACACACACACACACACACACACACACACACACACACACACACACACACACACACAATAATAATAATAACAACAAGGCACCAAGAGAAAGGACATAATAACAACAGGGATTACGGTACGAAGATGTGAAGTACCAGAGACGACGATAAACTGATAAATGAAGAGGAAATGAATTATGATTTGCCACGACTTGTATAAATCATGCAACAGGGAATAATTGATGAAGGGGACATAGAGTATATTGATAATTAAGGGGACATAGAGTATATTGATAAACCTTGGGAGAACTTAAAGACAGAGAAGGAAGTGGATTACAGATGGATGATAACGAAAACAGAGAAGGAAGTGGATTACAGATGGATGATAACGAAGACAGAGAAGGAAGTGGATTACAGATGGATGATAACGAAGACAGAGAAGGAAGTGGATTACAGATGGATGATAACGAAGACAGAGAAGGAAGTGGATTACAGATGGATGATAACGTAGGAATAATAGAGAAATGGTGATAATTATTTGATGTTTGTTGAGAAGAATTATTAGTAGGTGGAGGAGTTACGATAACTTGGGGAATTATTATGTGATGATATATGACAATTACCCCGTTAATGTTTATGTTTATAGGCAAGAAACCCTTACGATAGGCTCTCTCTCTCTCTCTCTCACAAAATTCCTCCCCCTTTCACTTGCTCCCTTTCTCTCCCTCCCTCTCCCCTCTCTGCTCCTTTTCTCCCCTACTCTCTCTCTCTCTCTCTCTCTCTCTCTCTCTCTCTGCTCCTTTTATCTCCTCTCTCACTCTTTCACTGCCTCCTTCCCTTCGCTCACTCCCTCCCCTTCTCTCTCTCTCTCTCTCTGTTCCCTTTCCCCCTCTCTCCTCCCCCCTTTCTCTCACCCCTTTCGAGAATCGTTCTGAACGGACAACTCTCGCTCCCACTATAACTTGAGCTCCTTCCAAGACTTGGGGGAAGTGTCACATAAAAATGCCAGCACTAAGTTTACGTATTTCCAGAAGATCGTAAAGCGAGTTGGTGTATTTCCAGCGTGTATTCTAGTGTGTATTTGCAGGGTGTATTTCCAAGGTGTTTTTCCATAGCATATTTCCAAGGTGTATTTCCATGACATATTTCCATGGAGTATTTTCAGGGTGTATTTCCAGTATGTATTTCCAAGGTGTAATTTTAGGGTGCCAGGGTGTATTTCCAGGGTGTATTTCCAGAGAGAGAGAGAGAGAGAGAGAGAGAGAGAGAGAGAGAGAGAGAGAGAGAGAGAGAGAGAGAGAGAGAGAGAGAGAGAGAGACTTACATTATAATCATCTAAACTATTCCTTTCTCCTTCTTTTTTCACCAGGTATGTTTGTTCATTAATTAAATAGGTAAGTCGTCTCTCAGCTAGCAGGAACGCGGAACGGTAAATATTATGTTTATTTACCTAGTGAGTACAGTATGTTGATATATATATAATGTGTGTGTGTTATATTATACCAGCTGGGAGTATATTCACATATTATAGTATATTAATGTTATATTGTTCCACTTCTAAAACAGCCAAGGATATATTGCCATTTAATCTATAATATTTATCAACTGGACTATATTGATATATATCTATATATATATTTTACTATATTATTTATTATATTGTACCAGCTGCAGATATATTATAAAAATAGATTAAAAATTTATCGGTATTTGACCCACCATGGAAATATATTTGGCCTTAAATAATCATCCCATCAATGGAAAGGCAACATCGACTCCTATTTACAGGGTGTCTCAAAAATATATATACACACTACCATACAGAGTGTCCTGATGTTTGTATACATTTTTCTGAGACACCTTAAGGACGTGAAATTTTACTGTATATATTATTATCTTGCACTAATGGGGTCCAGGGTAATACACCTTCAGAATCATAGGCATTACAGACAGGTAAACAGACTCAGGTATATAGAAACACAAGTAAACAGACCGATTCAAACCTATAAGCAGACAAGACAGGTAAACAGGAACACAGACAGACACACAAACACCTGACATCAATATCCTTTACCTATAACCTAAAGAGGAATAATAATACGAGTTGATCTTTTAAAATAACTAAATCATTCTTGTCTCCAATAAAAATAAAAATCCCAATCTCATCAATCATTAAATTTATATATATATACTGTATATATATATATCCGAACAACACTAAAGTCACCATAGGTAATATAGGAGAGTATAAGGAGAAATAAGCAAACTCCTTTTATATACCACAACATATAATTAACCCTGAATCATATAATTACCATAAATCTCACCAACCGGAAATAAGGTAATGGTTTTCCCAGGTGTAGTAATTAACCTGAAGACACACACACACACACACACCTGGACGAGCATCGAGGTGATAATACAAACGCATGAAGTTGCTCTACCTTGAAATATTATATCTGCGGCAAGACCATATAGTGAAGGAGGAGTGAGGGGAGGGGGTATTGTACGTAAGGATAAAGGGAGTGTTTGGAGGGTGACGTGGAGGTCCTATCATATCCTTCGTTTAGGGGATTGGAGGGTGAAGAAGAGACGGGGGAAGGGAAGGATAAGGGAAGGGAAGGAAGGAAGGAAGGGAGGGAAGAAGGGAGGGTAGGAAGGAAGGAAGGAAGGGAAGGGGAAGGGAGGGAAGGAAGGGGAGGGAAAGGGAAGGGGAGGGGAAGGAAGGGAAGGGGACGAAGGGAGAGGGGAGAGCTCCTTTCATGAACTGGCAGGCGGCCAAACTCCATCACCCAAACCTCTCTCCAAAATCCACGTCATTTATATCTGGCACTTAAGGTGACACTGAGGAACACTAACATGTTCCCCTCCACGCTAAGTGCTCCGTTAACCTCCACAAGTCTTACTCTGACACAACGTTTGACACACTTATTACTCTGACACAACGTTTGACACACTTGTTCCTCTGACACAACATTTGACACATTTGCTCCTCTGACACAACGTTTGACACACACTTGTTACTCTGACACAACGTTTGACACATTTGCTCCTCTGACTCAACGTTTGACACACACTTGTTACTCTGACACAACGTTTGACACATTTGCTCCTCTGACTCAACGTTTGACACACTTGTTACTCTGACACAATTTGACACATTTGTTCCCCTGACACAGCGTTTGACACACGTTTTCCCTGAAACATTTGACACCTCCCCCCCCCCAAAAAAAAATAAAAACATAAAAAAAATAAAAAAATATTCACACCTCCTCCACCACGACTACATTTTTTCCCAACGAGTGAGAAAAAAAATCGTTCGGTTAAAAAAATATATATCGGATAGTTGTGGTCATTATGGTGGGTTAAAATGGCCTCGTATATTAATGATTAACAGGGAGAGAAAAGGTCTATATTAGTCACCTTTACCTGATATATATATATATACAGTGAAACCTCCATATACCGGACATCTCTCTCTCTCCATAAAATCCATTAGATGGAGGTTTTAGATTTAACGGACCCTCGATATAACGGACTTCCATCTCTATATCATTCACTATATGGAGGTTATACATCTAACGGACCCTCAATATTACGGACTTTCATCTCTATATCATTCACTATATGGAGATTATACATCTAACAGATCCCTCGATATAACGGACTTTCATCTCTATATCATTCACTATATGGAGATTATACATCTAACGGACCCTCGATATAACGGACTTTCCTCTTCATATAGTCCGTTAAATAGAAGTTTTACTGTACCCGACCCTCGTGAAATATAAGGTAATTTTTTTTCAATATTTTTCATTATATATTTTTTCTCCTTTTCGTAGGCCTAATATATATATTTTTTTTTTCGTGTAATAGAAAGTTTATTTTTTGTTGAGGTTGAAGGTTAGGTTAGGTTAGGTTAGGTTAAGTTAATGTAGTGAGGGAGAGCTGCTGACAAGGTTTTAAATCATAAATAGGAAGGAAGGAAGGAAGGCAGGAAAGGGGAAGGAAGAAAAGATGGAAGGAAGGAAGGAAAAAGGGAAGGAAAGGAGAAGGGAAAAAGAAAGGAATGAAGGAAAGAAGGAAGGAAGGAAGGAAGGAAGGAAGAATGTCGAGAAACTGTGATAAAGTACAAAGATAGATAAACCCCGAGGAAAGAGGAATTAAAGAAGTAAGAGAAAAAATGAAGGACTCCCGTACACAAATAAGTTTATGGTAGGTTAGGTTAGGTTAGGTTAGGTTAGATTAGGTTAGGTTAGGTTAGATTAGATAAGGTTAGTTTAGGTTAGATAAGGTTAGGTTAGGTTAGCCGGGGTACCTAACCTTCACGTGATCCCCAGTAAGTATACATGACTGCCCACGAGGACACTTTGTTTACATGGAGGACCTTGGGGGTGTTGCACCTGTCAGCTGATCAACATAAACACGATCTCCTTAATTACGTGGGTGGAGGCTGTGTCTGTGGGCGGTGGTGCCAGGTGTTGTGGTGGGCGTGCAGGTGACTAACAGAACACAGAGACGGTGGTGAGATAGAGGGTAGACAGACAGACACGGTGGTGAGGCAGAGGGTAGACAGAAGGAAAGACAGACAGACAGGCAGACAGATAGACAGGCAGACAGACAGACATCCAAGAAAAAGACAGAAAGAAAAATAGATTACCAAATATTCATAATAAAAACCAAAAAGAAATATAGTCAGACAAACAGACAGAAAAACAGACAGAGACAGAAAGACAGACAGACAGAGAAAGGATGACAGACAGCACGACAAAGAAAACACAAATTAGGTCAATTAATCCGACACTTGAATCAGATCAGCACTAACACTATCCTCAGGAAGGGGTGACGAGGCGTGACGGTCACAGGGAGGAGGACCGGATGTGTTGTACAGTATATTAGTGACGCCAGCGGACAGTGACTACACACACACACACACACACACACACACACACACACACACACACACACGCACACACACACACACACACACACACACACACACACACACACACACACACACACACACACACACACACACACACACACACGCACACATTGCACTTGGGCTGCTCACTGATTTCCTGAGTGAGCGTCGTCAGGCAGTCAGGTACCAGGGTTCTGTCTCCACATTCCAACACCTCACCTGTGGTGTTCCCCAGGGGACCAAGATGGGACCACTGTGCTTCCTAATCCTGATCAACGACGCTCTATCGGACACTCCTCACAGGTAGAAGTTCGTGGATGATTGCACTGTGGGGGTTACAGTGGACATCTCACCGGACTACTCATCGCTACAAGGCACCCTGGACAGGCGACAGGTATGGACTACGGAGAACAAGGTCACCATCAATCACACCAAAACTGTAGTCATGCACATCAATACCGCCACCACTCCAGTGCAAGCTCCAGCAGTCACAGTGGGTGCCCATCCTCTCCAGTTAGTGCAGTCTGCCAAACTCCTGGGTGTAACTATAGACAACAAACTGGACTGGAAGGCCCATGTAAACAACACAATCAAGGCAGCCTCG